ATTTTTGCATCTTATTTTTTTTTAAACACCCAATTTCCCGACACAAACCCGAAAAACATTTCTCAAAAAATACAGGACAACTCAGCGACCATGTCCCTCATGATAAAAAATGACAAAAAAAAAATCCTGCTTTTCTTTGTATTTTTATAAAAATAATTTGTTTAAATCGAATTTCGTTTTTCATTTTTTAAAAATCTTAAACTAAGTCGGATTCCAAAATAAAAAATATAGGATTGTAGGGTTTTCCAAGCCCTACAACCCTATATTTGTTTATTGAGAAAACTACGGCGCAGTCAGGGTTCGAGTTTGTAATTGCACTTGAGGCAAAAGGGCCGGTAATGGTGAATGTATATGACCTACGTTTCGGGTCCGGTGGGGTCGCGTGGGGGTGTGGTGTATTTGCGGGATTGCCTGAAGTGCAATTACAAACTGTTTTCGTGACCGCGCCGAAGTTACCCCTTGTTTATTTTTTTTAACGTACTTTTAGGGGTATAAAAAAAATATTAAAAAAACAGGCCGTGGACGGGGCCTCATTGGCCGCAGTCGCGGCGGCCGAATTGCCCGCGGCCTAGGCCTCATTGGCCGCAGTCGCGGCGGTCGAATTGCCCGCGGCCTAGGCCGCGGGTGTCACATAGAGCCCAGCCAATTTAATTACCTGTCGAATCTGGACAGGATGGCCTTTCAGGCCTTTTTTACTGTCATTATAGTATTAGGGGAACCCCGTGGCAGCCACATCCGTGCTCAAGCCTTCAACGAGGGAACATGCGGGAACATGCGGAAGCTGCACCCACCAGCAGGTGGGCGATACCGGCCAGGGGTTAGCCGGTAGTATCAGGACCGAGCTTCTTCGATGGGCCAGTCACTGTGCCTCCCCTCCGGTCCCCTCTTCCTATGAGCATCAGCAGTCTCTGCTTAATGCCACTCAGGGGGACAAACAGCATATCTGCCCGGGAGGGTACATGAGGCCAATGGGGATGGAACCCAAGACCCCCTTAGAGAGAAAGTTCTATATAGTATGTGCTACTTTTCCTATTTTGGGGGGGGAACGAGGGCGCAGTCACGGTTTCAGTTTGAAAATGCGCTTCCCGATTTAAATTCGCGAATGTTGTGCCAAAGAGAGGAAAATTGTGAATGTACACAGCCTAGCTTTAGGGTCCCACGGGGATATGTTGTATTCGAGGGATGCCTGAAGTGGATTTTAAACTGAAACGGGGACTGCGCCCTAGTTACCCCTTGCGACCTCTGAATTGTCTTCCATCTATTTACCAAACTTTTATGCACTGCTGCCACTGCCTAAGGAACTGGGGCCAAGTCCCACTAAATAGGTGCCCTGTAAATAGGTGGGTAGTTTGAAGGATGGGGGTCCTGTGATGGTCCTGTGGCATTCCAAACACTGTGAGATAATTGAGTTGTGTGCGATGGGTGGCGACATGTTGGTGCATGAGTCCAACACTCAGGGTGTGTGTAGAGGAGGGGGCTGTTGGATCTGACTAACGGAGTGGCTATATAGGGTATGGCTTGGAAGTACAGTCTTTTTTTTTCTTTTCTTTTTTGAAAAGCCCAGGTTGTTCTAGAGGCTGGATTACAGACATATGAGAGTCACCTTCGGCACTCGGCCATGTGGTAGAGGGCCCCCCCTAATCCTATAGGACTAGGTTGGGACTCGGGAGGAAGTACAGTCTTTTTCATGGCTGGGGGACTTCAAATTTTGAACTGGTAGGGAACACTCTGTTTTTTTTTGGGTTTCGGGTTTAGGGTTTCCCATGTTGGGGACTGGTCCTATGTAACAGTTACCTATCAGCAGATGTGGTACTTTTGTCTGAGTCTAGGCTCTAGTAGGATGATGTGGTACTCTTGTCCAAATCTAGGCCCTAGGATGCTTTCCGGTCGCGTAGGCTAGTATATCTGAGACGATAGGTCATCAGGGTCTTTGAGCCAGCAAAGACTCAGGAAAAGGACCGGGGGGCGAAACGGACCGTAGAAAGAGCAGTGGGTGACCGGCCGAAATGGACCGTAGAGTCACTTTTGCCGCCTGCTTCGGCAGCATCGAGGGTTTTTCCACAGCGCGGTCCTGGGGTATTCCTCAGGTTTTTTTTCGATTGTATCCCTCGTTTTGTGCTCGGGGTAAATAAATCACGAGGATTTTTTGAATCGAGTGTGGCCTATCGTCTCTGGCTGTCTTCTTCTTGTCTCTTCCTCTTTCACCTTCTCCTGCCCTTGTCTCCTTCCCCTGCTATTGTGACGTGTGTCTCTAATGCATGTGTATTGGCGTGAACGCCGTCAAGCATGATATTGATTTGCCATTGTTTGCCAAGTCCCACTAGCACCACTGAGTTTCCTCAAAGCCTGAATCTGGACGTGTTTGTGGAGATGTGCCGTTGAGGAAAGTCGATGCCAGTTTCTGCACCTCTCCAAAAACACTTGCGCATTCGGGCCTTGAGTCTCAACGCTGCTGGCGGGACTTGGCCCCTGGGCCCTTTTTTAGTGAGAAAAATAAGAAAAACTGAAGGAAGTATAATAATTGATGTTACTACTGGGATAGAGGGCTTGCACAAGGGCTATTAAATAAAAAAATAAAATAAAAAAAATGATGTCCCACTGCATAGTTCGTCTGAACATAACGCATATGCGTCATAAACAAATACAATGCATAGGTTGGTTTTTTTTTCTTTTTTTTGCTTATAGGTTGCTTTCTATTCTAGTACAAAGCAATTCGAACAGCCCTTATATCCGAGCATATGTGTTATTCGAATGCAACGCACACATGTTCTATTTCAAAATTCTGTTACATTCGAATAGAAAGCATGTGCATTCTATTCCAATTATGGATGTTGTTTTTGAAAACTGGAATATAACGCATATTATGTCTTAGGTTTGGGGAAAAAGGTATCAAAGAGGTTTGGATTGAACTTGAATACCTGAATCGGGATGTGTTTGTGGATAGGTGCTGGATTTTCTTTTTCAAAACTCGAATACAACGCATGTGTGTTATGTTCGAGGAGGAAGGTAGCAAACAGGCTTGCATTCAATGCCTGAATCTGGATGTGTTTGTGGAGAGGTGCAGGACATAGAGATTGAAGTCATTGAACTTCTTTTCTGCATCTCTGCATAAACCACATATTAGATTGGAGCATTTGTCCCAAAAAAAAAAAAAAAAAAAAAAAAAAGATTCAGGAGCTTAAACCACCAGTACCTTTCCCCACTCAAAAAGAAGGGGTAACTTCAGTAGAGTCACAAAGGAGTTATAATTGCACTAGGGAGCAAAATGCAGTTTGCAATTGCACTTGGGGCACCCTACCTGGCCAGAAAGCTGGGTTGTATACATTGCCCAAACTGCAATTCGAAACTGTATCTTGGCCCATAGTGCTATTATGACTCATTTTTTGTGACTGAGTCTCCAGTGGAGTCACAAAAAACAGTTATAATTGCACTACGGCCCTACGGGGCAAGATGCAGTTTGCAATTGCACTTCGGGCACCCTACTTGGCCAGGAAGCTGGGTTGTATACATTGCCCAAACTGCAATTCGAAACTGTATCTTGGCCCATAGTGCAATTATGACTCATTTTTGTGACTCCCGCGTAGTTTCCCCCCCACAAACAATACCAGGGCAGGCCTGCGGTGAAATGGCTGATGGAGCCAGCCCAGGCACATCCCTGTGGGTTCCTTTTTCTCTGGCGCTCAGGGCAAAGGTGCTGGTGGCTTAGCTACTGATCCCACAGTACTTCCAGTAAGTAAAAATACGAGTTTCTGGGGATCCCACTTCTTTCCATATGAGCAGGTCGCAGCGCAGCTAGTGGGAGGGTGTGGAAACAGTTTCTATCGTGGCAGCTCGGGAGTGATCGCCGGCGCAAGAATCTGTCCCGTTTTCCAAGAGAAGCCAACCCGCACCCTGCCCCTAGAAAGCTGGAGCAGCTTTTTGTTATTGTTTTTTTGTTGAGAAAACTACGGCGCAGTCAGGGTCTGAGTTTGTAATTGCGATTGAGGCAAAAGGGCCGGTAAACTAAACCACCAGTACTTGGGCACTGCGCGCCGCGCCGGCCGGCCAAATCTCGAAGCAGCACGGGCTGTCGATTCGATTTATCGACGGCCCGCCGGCCGCGGAAATCGCGTAGCGTTAACGCTAAGGCGTCGCCCAAGTACTGGTGGTTTAAATGCTGAATGTATATGACCTACGTTTCGGGTCCGGTGGGCTCGCGTGGGGGTGTGTTGTATTCACGGGATTGCCTGAAGTGCAATTACAAACTGTTTAAATTTCGTGACTGCGCCGAAGCTACCCCTTTTTTGTGTTTTTTTTTGTCACTACCTCCTTTCCTCCGTTTATCCGCCACCCTCCCACATTATTGCACCGCGATGCCTGTAAAAGGGCCATTCTTTTTGGAGTTGTGGGATGCGATTTTCCTTTCACGGTCCGATAGGAGAGGACCCGACTTTTCAGTTTCTGTTAGGTTCTCTTACGTTTGAGGTACTGTCCTATCAATAGCTTAATCCTATCCTCTTCGCTACAGTCTTCCCCCGAATACAATGTACCGTCATTATAGCTGAATTTTGACTGAAAGATACCCGAAATTCAGCTATAATGACCGTACATTGTATTCGGGGGAAAACTGTAGTGGCACCTCTTCCTTGAGTATAAGCTATATCATGGCCCGCTGAGCCCCACTCTACTTTGCAATCACACTTGGTTTCTCACATAGGGTCTCGTTAGACACTCCTTAAAGAATCCTAAAATTTTTAGGACGAGTCCTAAAGGATTTTTAGGATTCCGTGCGGTGCCGTTACATGCAGTCCTAAAAATTGTCTTTTAGGATTCCTCCTAAAAGGTCTCCCGCGGCCCGTTCTCATATTCGTATACACAGCCGTGTCGCCGATGTCCGCCGGGTCCTGGCTGGTGTCCGTGGTACACACTGCGGAGGCCTTGGGCGGGCGAGGAGGGCTGGGTGAAAAGCGCGGTCACCCCGAACTTGAAAAATTCAAATTCGAATTTTCGCGGACGCAAGGCGGCAGGGGCGGAGGACGGCCGGGCGACACGTCTGACGTACAAAAGACGGCGCTGGCGAAGCATTCGGCGCGGGTATCCATCTTCCGAGTCCACGCGAGTTGCGAGCAGTGGGGGCAACTTCCGGCAAGGCGCATCGTCGCCACCATCGTTGTGTGCTGTCTTGTGGACTCCGACGCACGCCATCTTCTGTTGCAGCGTACGTCAGCGGCCGCATCTACGGGTCCAGGGTGCGTGTCTCTCTTCACTTGGTTCAGCAGCGGGCGTGTCTTCGGTGTTTGTGGCAGGCGTCACGTTCTTCGGGGAGGAAGATTCCCAGAGATGGATCTTCGCGTCATCGGGCACAGTCTGCGCAAAAAGGAGATCGACGCGGTCGCGATGGCGGTCACTGCCGTCGTCGTGAACACGATGGGCGGCATGTCGTCGTCCTCAAGCGACATGCTGACACAGCTCCGAAAACGAAGAACGCTGTTGCAGCGCATTGCCGAAGCGCTGGATTGGGTGGCAATGTGTGAGGCAGTCGTCCAGTTGTGCGCCGCGCTGTCATCTGGCGTTTTCCCGCGGCGGACCCCGCGTTGGTGGATCAAACGACGGACTGGCGGGACATGGGAGGATCTCCGCCTCTGTGATGATGCGAAGGACGAGTATTACCGGCAGAAGTTGCGCATGTCGTTAACCATGTTCAGGCAGATCGTTGCCGCATGCGCCGCGTACGAGGAGAAGAAGGTGACGCACTACAGGATGCCTTTGCCAGTGGAGCAGGTGGTCGCTTTCGCGTTGTACAGGTGGGCGTCAGGAGAGACGTACGAGAGTGGCACGTCGTCCTTCGACATCGGCAGGGCAACAGGACTGCAGGCCATCCGCGACGTCACTTCGGCCCTGCTGCAGGCGTACCTCGACGCTATCAAGTGGCCAGTTGGTCGTGGACGTGCGCAGATTCTGCGCGCATTCCATGACAAGGGTTTCCCAAACTGCTTCGGCGCGATCGACTGTACACACATCTACATTGACAAGCCCGCCGGCGCACCTTCCGACAACTACTACGACCGCAAACAGAAGTTCTCCGTGCAGGTGCAGGTGGTGGTGGATTTGGATCTGCGGATCCTCGACGTCCACATCGGATACCCGGCAAGCGTGCACGATGTACACGTTCTGCACAATTCCCAGCTGTGGAGGCGTGCAGAAGCTGGCGAGCTGTTTGACGCACCTCCGGAGAATCTGTCGCACGGTGTCGTCACGCGAGGTTACCTGCTAGGCGACAACGGTTATCCAGTTGCCTGTCCATGGATCGTGCAGCCGTACGGAGGAATCGACCAACATCCTGACGACGAGCGCTTCGACACGCGGCAGAAGGTGGCGCGGGAGTGTGTGGAGAGGGCATTTGGGCGACTGAAGTGCATGTGGCGTCTGTTTTTGCGCACCCACAAGACGAACCTGGAGACCTTGCCACAACAATTCGTGGCAGTGTGCACTCTCCACAACATCCTCCTCGACGCGGGGATCGACTTCGATGAGAACCTTTTGTGGGAGGTGGATGAGAACAACATTCGTCGTAGAGTAGACTTGGGGATTGTGGGGAACGGCGCGGGCGGGCAGCGACAGAGCACGAACGTGGACCGGGACTTGTTGCGGGATGCACTTCGAGACCGCCT